AAAATAGATTTTGCATACATGTATATAATACGTATACATTGCAAGTATCTCTCTACTTATGACTTATGAATTTTCAAATTTATGATCAATATACGTTAATAGGCGATTTTCTGTGCAATTCAGGTATAACAATCAAATTGTAAACCAGAATAATTTCGCATGTTTGTTCATTAATAATAGAGCATACTTAGCTAGCTTTTAATTCTGTATCTTATTCTCTCTATATCTCTTCTATCACACATCATGTTAGAATATTTTAGAAAGAAATTATTTTTAAATAGTATCAATTTGTACATATGAAAAAAAAACAATAGTTTTAGCGCAAAAATTGTACAGTTATCAGAATAAGTTCCAATCCTATCAATATCTACCAATAATAACTTTAGTACATGTACCAAATGATTGCTAAAAATCGTCCAATACTATTCACCATTCAATATGATTCAATATTTACAATTGAAATTTAAAACATATATAAGTGGAGAGTTTCGTATTTATTGTCGCGAAAGATAGACAACCGTTATTAATCATCACTTATTAATCACTTATTTCACATTGTCTCTTATTCAATATACCTAAAGTTGATTTTAATTCAAGAGCTTAATTATCGTTTTAGTATTACACTAAAGAAGACAGTACGCCACAGTAGCGTTTCATTTTGTAGGAATGAAAAATCGAATGCATACGATTAATAAAGTAAACAATAACATTACTAAATAGATCGAATTACATAAAATAAATGACACGAATCGAAGAGAGAATATACACAAGGACAGTGGGAAGCGGTGCAGAAAAAGTAGAACACGCGCATCTCTCGATGTGGCACAAAGAAAATGCACGCACAAGAGAAGCGCGAAATTCTCGGGCACGCACGCAACCACGCCGATACCACAGTCGACAGGCACACATTTCGAAACTCGTATACGTACTATACTAAAGTATACGCGGCTCCGCGAGGCGCGCCAACTGTCTTGGCTGGTGCGCGCGCGCATGCAGGAAGAAGCCATGATTGCGTGTACACTGCACTAACCTGTCGGAGGCGACTCGCTCTCCCTTGATACCCCGCTTGGCGTCGCAACACCTGAAACTGGCTGATGGCTGAGTATTTTTCACTGCGCGCGATCACACTGCAATCACCAAATTATTCACACTCCGGCTTCCACACGTCTCTATCCCTTTATTTCTCTTTCTTTCCTTTTTCACCTTGCTCCTTGTGTCTCTTTCCTTTCTTTACGGTCACGCGTTATCTCCTCTCTTTCTCTCCTGCCGTTCACTTTTCTTGTATATAGTCTTCCCCACGTCTTCCTTAAAAATATGTTCTCGGCTCGTCAATTCAACCGAAATGTGCGACGGCGACGGCGTCCGTCTACCGGGTGACCGCCGCGGTCGGCACGGTGTACGAAAGTCACGCGAATATCCTATCGGGCACACTACAGTCTCTGTACAATCTGTAGAATATGAATCGCACACGATTTGCAGCGTACACGAAAAGAGTTTTCGCGTTTTACGTTTCACTACTCTCGATTCGATTCGCTAATAATGCACACAAATTCTCGCTACCTACGCTCCGGACTGCTGTCCCTTGTTGGAGGAAAATGGCGGCCCCCGGGTAACTCGCGCGCGCCACCCGATGCTCGTCGTCACCGGTCGAGCGCAGCCGAACACGGCCGAGAGTACCCGAATACTATTGGCTGAACAATACGATGCGTTCGATTCGCTGAATGATTCACACATAGAAACTAGATAGGAACAACACATTACTGCATCATGCTAAAGAGATGCGTTCCATTTCACACATCGTGCGCATGATGTATTGTTTTATCCTTCTTATTCATCGAATATTAAAGAAAGATAAAATAGTACATTATACGCATCATGCGTGAAACGGAACGCACCTACTTAAATGTACTTACTACTTAAATGTACTCGTATGCAATCTGCTTTAATCATTCGTTTTTACGGAAAGTTCCTTGGCGACCTAAAAACGGGATCATATTCATTGAACCCGAATGGATCATACTCATTGATCCCGTTTTCCCATTCAAACTAATCCCGCCGGATAAAAACGATGAAATATTTTTGTAAGGGAAATTAAGATTATATACCAATTATAAACCAAACTTTTTTTTCAAGGATTGCTTGATTAAGAGCTTGATTGAGAATTTACATATCAGAGTATCTATAAATAATTTATTTTTCAAAATTGACATACTCATGTAATATATTTATTAATTATTTATATTCTAAAATATTGTATTTTATTTGCACTGTTCGATAAAAAGTCACTTTTTTCTCTCCGAAATGACAGATCCTGAAAAATTTTTTCACATTAAGCACGATTATTGATAGAACTTATGTAGCATATCAAGATTTTGAGCAAATTGAAATGAAATATACAAAAAATAACGTTTTTTTATTATTTTTAACATTTTTTATAGCAAAATAAAACTGTTTCTAAATTAAATCTATGATATATAAAAGTATAATTTAACTTTCATATGAATTTTTCATATGGTTCATATGGACTTATTTTCATTAAATTATGGCTGTTTGAATTTCTATATAATTACGTCGTATATAATTACACTTTTTTTTTTCTTTGAAATGCTATATAATAGTACATACTCTGAAAATTTTTTGTGCTGAATATGATGTCATTAGAATTGGTAATACATCGAATACATTTAATAAATTGAGATGATTTTTAGATCATTTCATTCCAATTTATTAAATCATGTTCATCTCGAAAAATCTTCAAAAGAATATATGGCGCTTCGAAGAGAGTAAACATTCACTTAAGGTCAACCCCTTTAAAAGTCAATGACCTTGATGTGTATATTATGTGTATATTATAAGAACATATTCCCGAGTAATAATTCAAAGTTTTTGCCGTTCATAATTTATTAAGAAGTTATTATAAAAAATCACACGGATATTAAAAACACACATTTTTCTTAATTATTATTTATAATATTATAGAAGATATAGTGTTTAAAAGTTGAAAACTTCGCATGGAAGAAACTCATACAGCTTCGCTTTACGTAGAAAGTATGTACAGACCGTGTGTTCCACATCTCTCCGAAGAGGTTTCATTAAGAGAGGGGCGAAATTCTCCGAGTCCTGCAAAGCGATAGATACGCCAGATACCTAGATCTGTTCGCGTTGTACGAATCCCCAAATATTTTTGCACTTAAAATAAGATAAATACATATTTTGCCTTAAAAAGACAGAAAGCGAAGATGTCGAGTGCCAAAAGTGCAAGTAACGCGAACAGACCTACTGTTGTTCATTAATCGAGTCCCTTTTTATGTATAGAAACTAGGATAGGAACAGCCAATTAGGCAATCTACTAAAGGTTTGTTTTTTGTGGCTGAACTATACACTTTTAGAACTTGAAGTGAGATAGATATATGTTTGATATTTGTTGAGAGTGAAAAAGAGAGTGCAGTCTAGTGCAGGAAATAGACCATAAGTTGATAGCAGAATCTGATTGGCTGACGTAACTGCAATTTCTGCACTCTTCTACACCTGAATGGCTCGATTAATGAACATTATAACGCTGTATACAGGGTGATTCAGAACAATCCCGTGCCGATGACTGCGTTCAGCAGAGAAAATTAATCAATTAGCGCTTAGCAATTTTTTAATGCCATACTGATCGTAATGAGTGCCCCTCATAATCGCTCACGTCAAACGGTGAGTGCGCCGTCTCTGTTTATCTTCTATACATGGCCCATAATTAACTAACTTTATCTTTTAATAACTTCAAAAGTAGATAAAATTTTCATAAAGGAAAAATCATCTCAGAATTTAATCAGGAACACTCTTTATAAAAAGGACAGGATTGTTTTGATCACCCTGTATAAGGATCAATCACTATAAAGATTGTAAGCTATAGAGTAAGCAGTAACTAATCCAACATGTTGATTTTCCTGCTTACGTCTTACCGCTAAATTTTTTGTATACCATGCCCTTATGAATAGTCACAAAAATCACAATCTTGACCTAAAGTTCTAGGTATATCAAAATAGCACAAAGATTCTCCATTTTTGACCTAATAACAATATCATATTTTAAAAAATTATTAATAATATTGAGCGCTTATTGAACTACAGCTTCCAGGTCAAAAATGCCGGTCGAAACAGCAAATAGAAAAAGTGGCATTTCGACTAAAAGGATTGCTACTTTAGTATGCCTAGACTCTAGAGCTTTATCTTGACATAGGAAATTCTCTCCTTTCATTTGAGCACATATAAGCACTGTCATCAAGCTCCAGAGAGGAATGGGGCAAAGCCTCCTTCAGAGTTGCATTCTGAGACTCAACTCGAGTATCAATTTTATGATCCTTGTTGTTCATTGAATATATATTAAACAAAGATACCGTGCAAGAACTTTAGCTAAAAAAAACAGATCTTAAATCTTATATTTTATCAGCAATATCAATATTCATTATGGCAGAATACGGGCACAGGAATTCCTTCCCTTTTCACATTAATAACTTCTATGTGTAATTGAAAAAAATCATATTAATAACTATTATGTAATAACAAAATACCGAAGAATTAAATATTAAAGTGCATTGATTTAAAAAAAAATATGGACGAACTATTTACTATTGGCAGCAATAGCTTTGCTTTTGATACATGATACATACTACATAGAGATATGTCTAATCTTTTCAGATTTTCATTATTTTTACAGTAAATTCATTTAGGCGAAGATTTAATTTAATACATAAAATACATGCCCATATATCGAAAAACGATGATGTATTCAATACATTTTTTGTTAACATTTTAATAAATAACAAGCGACAATTAAAACTTCTTGATTGTTACTTTGAAACATATCTTTAACAATATATGTTAAGGTTATTGACTTTTGAAGGGGTTGACCCTATGTAAATATTTATCATAAGACAATAAATTCATTCTATCTCATATTTCTGATTGATATTTCTGATAAAATTTAGTTTTCTCTAATATAATAACTGATTTACATTTACCACTGCAACATGGTTTATTCATTCATAATTTTTTGACTATTCTAAATTTTTGAAAACAATTATTTAATAAGCTGCATGAAATGTACTATATTTGATGGCACAATTGTCCTTTATCATACCATCTTATTTCTATTTCACATCCACCTAATTTAATCATAACTTTTTACGCTTTTGCAGCAAGAACTTCAAGATCTTTGATACATTGATGAAGAGTCGCTTTTTCTTGTTCGGGAGTGATAGATTTTAATACTTCATTCACAATCCATTGCACCATATGCTTTTGTGCAATTCGACGTTCAAGGTTTTGTATTTGTATTTGATAGTCAAGACGCTTCTTCACCTGTTAAACAGTAAGCAAATAAAAATTTCTATTGTTAATTTTTTTCTTTATGAAGAAATTTAATACAAAAACAGTACTATAATATAAAGAATATTTAAAATATATTTGTTTAATAGTTTCATAATAAATATAGGATTTTAAATAAAAATTTTTTAATACTAAAATAAGTATATACAAGAAAATTGCTTAAATACTACTAATCTCTGAAACTTTCAATTCCACTGAGTTTATTAATCCATATTTAATTTTCAGATATGATACAAAACAGATATATTAAAATTAATAATTATATTCTTTAGTGTGTAACATTGGAATACTTATCATATAATTAATCACAAATAAATTTATATTATTCTTTGATAAATATCTTTTTAATTATTTTATTGTTTTATATTCTACTATATAAAAAATTATACCTCTTGATAGACTTGCAGCAGGCGTTCCCTGTAAGTTGCTTCCAGCTGCATTTTAACGTTTTCTTTTTTAATGTTCATTATCATTTTTTGTCCATCTAAATTCGACTGTTCAGTCTCTTCATGTAAAATTAGATCTTCATACTGCTTTATTTCGCTATTTCTACTCTCATTAATTTCATCATCATATTTATCGATTCCTTTATCCAATATTTCAGCAAGTTTTGGACCAAATAATTTTACACTCGCTACACATATTATGAACAAAGATATTCCATTGTAAAATTCATGTTCCAGGATATAAATTTCTTTGGAAATTAGATAAGTGCTCAGGCTTATAGCAAATACGTATGGTCCTAAAAATAAAATAATAATGATAATAAGAAAATAGATGCAGTCCACTTGATGTTACAAATGTTTCGAAGCATTTTATCGACCAATTAGAAGAAAGAATTTTATTAATTTATCAATTAAAGGATTCAAACCATTGTAGCATCAAGTAAACCACAGCTGATATTGTCACTTCATATATTATAGAATAATGCGATGTAACAAAAAGTTAATTTTTAGAAAGAAGTTAAAAGTGTAAAACAGATGTTTTTTTTTAAGATTTCTTTTTGAAAACAACTTAATTAAAGAATTAAAAACTTAATATTTAGCTTATAAATTTGTAAAGCTTTTGTAAGCTTATAAATTATTTTCAAGACATTAAAATATCATAATACACATTTCAACAATACTTCTTTAAAAAAAAGTACGTAGTACGTATACGTAAGTAAGTTAGAAAATAAAAGCTTTCTTTTAGACAGAAATTAATAAATTCATAATAATATGCATAAATGAAAATTTTATATAAAGCATAAACCATTTATCTTTACGAGAGTGGTTTGAAAAATTGTTTAAAAAGTTGTGTAGTTAGAGAGATGGCATCATGAGTCAGTATTATTTTAGTTAGTAGCATCTCATGAAAAAATACACCAAATTTCAGCCAGATCGGTCTATTTCTTTGTATTTGGCGTTCGAATCGAGGAAGTCGAGTGATTCCCAAAAAAAGAATTTCGTGTGTTGATCAAACATTACTTTATGAAAGAGAAATCGCCTCAGGAATCTAAAAAGAAGCTTGATAAACATTATGATGAATTTGCATGGATTAGAACAGTTTATAAATGATTTCAAACATTTCAAAGTGACTATATGAACACAAGTGACACTGAACGTTCTGGACATCCTGTTGAAGTCACTACTCCAGAAATCATTGAAGAAATCGATGATATGATGTTGGATAATAGAAAAATGAAGGTGATTGCTAATACTGTGGATATTTCGATTGAACGAATACATAATATTTTGCATCAATATTTGGACATGAAAAAATTATCCACAAGATGGATGCCGCGATTGCTCACAGTTGACCAAAATGAAATCATATGAGGTTCCAAGGACTGTTTGCAACTGTATCAGCGAAATCCACAGGACTTTAGACGTCATTTCATCACTGTGGACGAAACATGGATACATCACTACATGCTTCAGAGACAAAACAGTCCAAACAAAAATTACCAGCGGGGAACCTGTAAAGAAGACGAAGACTATTCCTTCGGCCGAGAAGATTATGGCAACCGTCTTTTGAGATTCGCAAGAAATAGTCCTCATCGATTATATGAAAAAGAGTAAAACTATTGCAGGTACATATTATTCATCATTATTGGACCGTTTGAAAATCGAGCTGCAGAAAAACGTCCACGATTGACCCACAAGGAAGTTCTTTTCTATCACAATAATACACCAGCTCACTCCTCTGTAGTTGTGGCTGCAAAATTGATGGAATTAAGATTTCAACTCGTTCTGCATCCCCCCTATTCTCCAGATTTGGCTACCTCGGACTATTACTTGTTCCCTAATTTGAAGAAATGATTAGCGGGAAGGAGATTTTATTCAAACTAGGAAGTGATTGCAAAAACGCATGCCTATTTTGCACAGTTGAATCAATCCTATTGTAGGGATTAACAAATTGAAACAGCATTGAATGAAGTGTATAAGCCTAAAAGGAAACATTGAAAAGTAAAAAAGTTTTATCCCAAAAAATTAAGTATTTTATTTTTGCACAGACTTTTCAAACTATTCTCATATATAAATAAAAATCTGTAATTTTTATCATTAAGAAAATATTTTAAAAATATAAAAAATCTTTCGTTTCCTAATTATAAAAATTTTACGTACCATATAAAAATCTAGATTAGTCTAAATCAGATATCTTGTTATTTTTATCCATTTAATTACTTACCTGATGCACCAGTTTTTGGATAAAAAGCTTGAAACCACTCCTCGGGTATAAATCCATGTCTAACTGGAGATGGATTAATCAAACGTTTAGGACGAGTTGACTCTACTGCTACTGACGAAGCACTTTGTGCTCCACGCACAGCCGTAGATAGTAACTGAGCTATGATAGATAATATTACTCAGGGTTAGGAATGTTAGTTCATAAAAATGAGTTACCAATACTTTTTGTAAAAAATAATTCGTTATTAATTTTAAAAAGTAACACATTAGCTATTATTACTTATTGTTAGAAAGTATTGAGTAAAGATTCCTTACTTTTTTTGCAGGAATAAGAACCATTACTCTTACTATAACAT